GGAACGAGGCAAATTTTTTTGCGAAAAAAATGCATCGGTTACCGGATTTTATCGGGTACCGATAGACGCGAAAACCGGGGGGGCCACTTATTCAAAAAGAGATTTGGGTCTTGTTTGTGGTCATGTGTCCTTTTAGATTGGGAGGGAAAAGTTTGATGGGGGTTTTTTTAAATTTTTGTGTATTTTCTGGTATGTAGAGGCACATGAATAATATGGATTTTCTTAATGGAAGCAGATTCAGACTTTTGAAAATTGGTGGGGTAGCTGGGGGGAGTGGGAATTTGTTATCTTTCCCCTTACTGCTGCCTTTTCTGGTTATTAGGGGTTTAGGGATTGGATGTTGTTTGACCCCCATCACAAATTCCATATGTAAGATAAGGGATATAGTGAATGATACAGTGCCTAGGAGAGCTGATTGTGGAACGTAGTACTTTATCTTTGATAGTATGCCTACAATCTTGGAGATTTTCTTGGTGATTTGTTGCATGTGTGACCGGAACTTAAGGCTACTGTCAAGGTGGATACCTAGGAATTTTCCCTCTGTGAGTCTCGTGACTGATGATCCATTTAGCGTAATGTTAATTCGATCATTTGCAGCTTTGTTTCCATACTGGATGAAATAGGTTTTATCAGTGTTCAGGGTAAGTTTGTTAGTCATCATCCAGGCAGATATTTTCTGTAATTCAGCATTGACTGTGTTTGCTAGTATGACTGCGTTTGGGTGGGAAAATACATATGTAGTGTCATCTGCAAATAATATGGGTTTGAGTAGCTGTGATGCATTCGGTAGATCATTGATGTAGATGAGAAAGAGGAGTGGTCCAAGGACGCTTCCTTGTGGGGCTCCTACTGTGATTGGTTGGGTGGAGGAGTTTGCATCATTTGCATACACATATTGAGTTCTGTTACTAAGGTATGACTTTAGGTAGTTGAGGGAGTGGCCTCTGTTTACCATAGTGCATTAATTTGGAGTACAGTAGTTCATGGTCGACTGTATCGAAAGCTTTATGTAAATCAATGAAAATGCCCAGCGGGACTTCTTTCTTTTCAAGTGCGGTATATATTAATTCTAGCATGTGTATGATAGCGTCATTTGTGCTTCTTTTTATTTCTGAATCCAAACTGACAAGGGTTTAATATGTTGTGTGAAACGAGGTAGGAATGGATCCGTCTATGAATTAATTTTACAAAGATTTTAGAGAGCAGTGGTAAGTTAGATATTGGTCTATAGTTATTCAAGTCAGCTTGGTCACCTCCTTTATGGATCGGAGTAACCCTCGCTATTTTGAGGATTTTTGGGAAGGTAGATGATTCAGTGGATTTGTTAACCCTTTGACTGTTTCAGGCCCCGTTCTGAAACTGTCATTCTATGTTGCTAAATTTTTGAAAAAAAAAAATTATTTTTTCTTATGAAATGATAGAGAATCTTTTCCCGATGGTAATGACACCAAAAGTTTGAAATTTGGTCGAAAACTCATGGAATTACGCTCCCGCAAAGTTAGCGGTCTCAGCGACATATGCGTATCGGCGATTTCGCCGACTTTGAGCCCTATTTTCAGCCAATTCCGTTTTTCCAGTTGACCAAACTCATAGCTATTTCTTTAGAACTCCATTTTATCTATCAGCTGAGTACAAGAAACCGCCCATTTACCAATTTGGACTACCCAATATTGTGGTCAGAAATTGGCAATTTTTGGGCCCAATTTCACGCAAACTAAAAAAGATGCCAATTTCAAAATAGGGTCCAGAATAAACAAGGTAGACATTCTTGGCACTAAAATAACATATCCTCTGTTCATTAGTCACATCTCTAGGCCCCTCTTATATTATTATTGCTTTCTATTTTGATTTTTTATTCATACAAAAAAATACAAAATTTACTGTTATGCAGACTACTGCATTATTGTAAAAATGGTATAAATAATATCAGTGCACTAGTGAAAGAATATTAGACTCCCCAGTTGACGTGTATTGGATGTGTGGTGTAATTTGTTTACTCCTGAAGATTGGTAAAAATCGAACATTTCTGCTACTTTGAGCTCAGTTTCAAGGTCGTTTTCATCGTCAAAGTAATGAAAATCATCTCAATTTCTGTAATATGTTTTCCATTTTATCACCTAAGACCATGAAAACGCAAATACATCGATAAATACTATACGAAAATACACCTCAAAGTCGGCGTTTTAATCCAAAAAAACGATCAGTTTTTTTTCTCATTACGCACTGTGTGCTGCAGGATTTTTTTTATGTGGTGCACACTGACCACACAGACCCATTCTCTCACATGTAGGCCTACCAGCTTTCTTCCACTTGATTTGAAGCCGCTAGAATTATTGAGTATATATACGTCTGAAACACTGGCTCGTAAGACGTATATATACGACCAAAACAGTCAAAGGGTTAAAGAGCGTTGGAATAATTGGTGACAATACTCATTGATCACAAGAAAACTGCTAATTCAACCATCAGAACTACCCTATCAGGTGCATGGAAATTGACAATTTGGCCAATTTTACACTATTTTCATCATTCCCAGTTCAAAAAAGTAAAACAAGCACTGTAGGCATTCCAGCCTAAGGCCATCTACCTTGTGTTCATGAGTCATGAACCCCCAGCCTATCTGAGGCCTATATAATACTTGCCCTCCATTTTGAATCCAATGTCATACAGAAATTTGATGCTTTTCCCTATTTATTGCTTAATAAACAAACCATAACACAGAATGTGTGTGTATGTTTTAAGCTGTCCCAATAATTGAAACAAACCCAGTAAAAACCCATAAAACAGACCAGGTTGTGGTAGGGGTTCCCCTACCTTTCAACAGGAAAATTGCTAAAAATCTACCATTTCTGTCAATTTGAGGCCTGTTGCAGGTCAAGTATGTAGATAAATAGTTCAGGGAACCGACAAGTTGATACATTAGACACACGTGCAACACTTGGGTATCTTTATTGAGGAGACGTTTTGCCACACAGTGGCTTCGTCGGTCAATACAAAGGAGAATGGTGAAGAACAGGAGTAGCTTGAGGTAATCAGTCCCTCAGCCTTGAGATAATGTAATCAGTCCATCAATCTTGAAAAGAATACAGCATATGTGCGCAGAAGTGGCTTGTATACTGTGGACAGGTGAGGTGAAGCAGTCATAGGTGGTATCACACTTGACAAATCCAAATGTGGAAGTAGGTCATGCCTAAAGATTAGGCAAGTGAATATTTCCCTGTATTAAGACCCCAAGATATTGCTGTGTCTGACAGGAATGTAGATAAATGGTTGAGAGTACAGTGGACCCCCGACATTAGATATTAATCCGTTTCTGAGAGCCATCGAATGTCGAAAATATCGAAAGACGAATTAATTTACCCCATAAGAAATAATGGAAATCAAATTAATCCGTGCAAGACACCCAAAAGTATGAAAAAAATTTTTTTTACCACATGAAATATTAAGTTTAATGCAATAGAATAATTACAATAACAACAATAACAATAGATTAATAACAATAGAATAATTGACACTTACCTTTAATGAAGATCTGGTGATGATTGATGGGATAGGAGGAGGGGAGAGTGTGGATGGTGTTAGTGTTTAGAAGGGGAATCCCCTTCCATTAGGACTTGAACTGGCAGCCTCACCATGCCTTACCACACTGTGTATGCCACTGTGATTCTTAAATCTTTCAAACCAACCTTTGCTGGCCTTAAATTCACTCGCAACACCACTAGTTGCAGGCAATTTCTTTACCAAATCATCATGCACTCCGACACACGCACTCCACTTTTGTACTTTGCAATTATCTCTCTCTTCATTTCAGTAGTCATTAGCACCTTTTTTCTCGAAGGGTTGGCACTAGAAGCTTTCTTGGGGCCCATGGTTACTTATTTTGCAGAAACAAGCACCAAAAGCAGTGATAATATGGATGATATGGAATGTACCGAATGTATCCTTAGATGCGCGCACACTGGCTGGCTTGTAAACACTGGCACACACGGGGCAGTTCAGGCCACACGTGGACACTTCTAGTACAAATCGTATCGAATGTCTGGTTTCCCATCGAATGTCGAGGTGAAATTTTTGCGTTATAATGCATCGAATGTCGGATTTATCGAATGTCGATGCCATCGAATGTTGATGCCATCGAATGTCGGGGGTCCACTGTACTGACAAGTTAATAAATTAGACACATGTGCAACACTTGCGTATCTTTATATACATGTGTCTAATTTATCAACTTGTCAGTTCTCTCAACCATTTATCGGCATACCTGCCAGACAAAGCAGCATCTTGGGATCTTAATACCTACTTCCACATTTGGATTTGTCAGGTGTGATACCACCTACGACTGCTTCACCTCAACTGTTTATAGTATATAAACCACTTCTTCGTGTACATGCTGTATTCTTTTCAAGATTGATGGTCTGATTACATCTCCTCAAGGCTAAGGGACTGATTACCTCAAACTCCTCCTGTTCTTCACCTTTCTCCTTTGTATGGACTGATGAAGCCACTGTGTGGCAAAACGTTTCCTCAATAAATATACCCAAGTGTTGCACATGTCTAATTTATCAGGTCAAGTTTGGTCTGAAACCAACCATAATCTTTTCCTTTTCACTAATATAACTTCCAGTCCATCAGTTGACACCAAAAAAAAAAACTGTAAATGAATCAATGAAAACCACCCTAAGAGATCAAAATTGCCATTTTATCCCAAACATAGTGTGATGCTAACTGTTCACATCATACACTGCATGGGGCATGATTATACGTACATAGGTCTGTGTGAATAACACTGACCTCAATCATGCAGATCTACGTGACCAACAGCAAAAGGATTAAATAGCAGTTTTCTATCTTGGTGGAGCTTAGTGCAAATAATATTTAACATTTTATAATTGTATGTAGCATTTCTGTAGCTAGCTGTGTAGTTGCTGCAGAAAGGATCTAGTTTTACATGAAAATTATTGACTGTTTATGTAATAAATTCTTTTTTATTTTTTAAACAGTAATGAACAGAGGAGGTGAAGGTGAAGTCAGTGGAGACATTCTTATGCGGTCAGAAGGTTTTAGTGTATGTGCCGGCCTTACTTACCTCGCCCAACTTGTCAACACCTTGGCTTTTTACCTAGATGTTACTCTACCAAAAAAATTGTGTTATAGGTAAGAGAACTGTCAGATTTGCATATAATGTACAATGGTTCCTTGAGTTATAATATTAATCCATTCCAAAAAATGTGTCGTAACTCAAACCCCCAAAAAATGGCTTTATGGTAATTCATTGCAAGACCCCAGAAGTGCAACCTTTACTGTACCTTGGACTTGAATAGTGGATGGTGTGGTGCTTGGGGAGAGGGTGGAGAGGAGGTTACTGGTTAAAAAAACGAAGCCCTTTCCAACCCCTTCCTGTTAAAGAAACTGTGTAGAGTCGTTTGTTTCTATTGCTTTTTCTGAGGCTCATAATATGAGATAAAATATTATTTTTAAAAACACAGGAAGTGAGTTCAGTTTTTCATTGTATTTTCTTATGATTCTTTTCACACACTTTTCCAATGAGTAAACTACTGAATTTCTTCACGTGTTTTCCTATGGTCATCTTCCTCTACTTCTGCCTCCCCACTATCTTCATCCATCTCTACTGATTCCTGGAGCTCCTTTGTTGTCAACTCCTGTCTATGGTCCTGAATTAACTCCTCCACATCCTCTTCATCAACCTCCAGTCTGATTGCCCCGGTCTCCTGGTTTACATCCTCCTCAGCCTCAAATCCTTCAAAGTCATAGGTGACTGAAGGCCACGAGTTCTTTCAGGCTGCATTGAGGCGCTGAGTAGAAACTTCATGTTAGGAATTTACTATGATCCTCACACAATGTAAGATGTTCAGATTTGAATTCAACATTCCTGAATTGGTTAGAAAAACATGTTTTTAACCACTTGAGGATCCGTGCCATTGCTCTGTGGGTTTACAGCCAGGGTCCGTGCTGTAGAACTACGTCATGAGCTCAGCTCACTCAGATAAACTGTGAGCAGTAAATTTGCACCTAGATATGAGAGAATGGGTCTTTGTGGTAAGTGTGCGCTGTATGAAACAAATCCTGCAGTATACGTATTGAGAAAAGGGAAGATATATTACAGAAATAGAGATGATTTTGATTGCTTTTACAACTGAAAATATTGTGAAATTGAGCTTAAAGTAGTGGAAATGTTGGATTTTGCAGATATTCAGGAATAAACAAGTCACATCATGCATCCAATACATAATAATAATAATTTTATTTCTTTGTAAAGGTTACAATTGAAAATTCATTTTTTTTTGGATTTGAAGACAAAGTCCCATTTTTTTCCAAATGCTTTTTGCAGGCAAACTAATCCTAATACTAGTAAAAATTTTAAAAAATAGATAAGAATTTAAATTAGAAAAACAAATAGAAATTTATTTTTTTACAACTTTTTTTTTTTTTTTTTTTTTTTTTTTTTTTTTTTTTTTTTTTTCAACAATCGGTCGTCTCCCCCAGGCGGGGGCCCCAAAAAAAAAAGAAAGAAAATCCCCAAAAAGAAAATACTTTCATCATCATTCACATTTTCCCACACTCAAATATCATGCTTTTGAGGGGTCTCAGAATACCAGTTTAGAAGCATATACGTATAAAGATCACACTTTCCCCTCCAAACTCCAATATCCCAAAACCCCTCTTTAAAGTGCAGGTTTGTACTTCCTTTTCCCAGGCTCAAGCCCGACTTATGAAAATAACCTTTTCCCCTGAATCCCTTCACAAAATTTCCCTGCTCCACCCAAACAATCGTCGCCCAAGTACATGTTCCTTTACCCCTATCTAACACGCTCATGCACCTTGCTAAAAGTCCAACCCCCCTCACCCCAAAACCCTCCTTTACCCCCTTTTTCCCAAAACCTTTTCGAGGACGACCCTACCCTCTTCCTTCCCCTATAGATTTTGTTTTCCTGTCTTTCTACTTTACCATTCTCTCAAAATGCCCAAACCCCCTCAAAAAAACCCCCTCTTCTGCCCTTGACAAGCTTTTTTTAACTCCACACCTTCCAAATTTCCACACCCCGAATTTTCTGCATAAATTTTTACACCACAATTCCCCTTAGACAGGACATCTCCACTGCCCCAACCGTCCCCCTCGCTGCGCATTTACCCCCAAGCTTACTCCTTAAGAGGGGTTGGTACTACTTAACTTTATACATTCCCTTCTTTGCCTCCATAGAAAATTTTTTTGATCCACAAAACTAAACGCACCACTCACCTTTTTTCCCCCTCACAATTCTATGATTAACCCCCATCCTCTAAATCCCTCCCCCGACCGTCAATCCCCAAATATCGAAAACATTACTTTTTCCATACCCTCCTCCCCAATTTGTATCCAATTTTTCTTTACTAAATCATTTGATACCCTCATCACCATCTTTTTAAGTTCCTTTCAACTTTCTACCTTTACACCATTCTCAAACTCATCCACTAACCTTGCAATTTTTCTTTGAATCTCCCAAGCACTTATCATCAGCAAAAAGTAATGTGCAATTCCCATTTTTAATTGATTCCCCCTAATTTAAAACCCCCCCCCTTCCCCAACACCCCCAGCATTTATTCTTTTACACCCCCTCTATAAATATATTAAACAACCATGGTGACTTAACTCCCTGCTAGACCTACTTATTTGGGCTTAAAAATCTTATGTTACTTAGTACAAATCAAATTTCAAGGAAAGGGCAAATGGATTTTTATGGAATGGCAGAATTTTAAAAATGGGGTCAATGATAAAAAGCACTAGTCTTTGTTTATTTGGTTATATTGTGGTAAGTGTTTTTTAGCAGGTCCAAATTAAATTGTTGGGAAAACCTTACCTATTCCGGGAGCGAGTTCAATTCTTAGGGCCTTTTATATGCTACGTTTTTGCATAGTGAGATTCTTACCGAGGGGGTTGAAAAGGGCCTTTGGAGAGGGTTTTCAGTGGAGTTTAAAGTTTGTAATGATATGCATTGGCACAAAAAAAAGTGTATGTCTTTTATATTTGGCAAATTAGTCTTTTTTAAAAAATGGTGGGGTGTGTGTCTAGCACAGGAGCGGTTATCACCTGCACAGCAGCTTTTTTTTTGGATTATTAAGGGTCTAAGGTGGTTTTGGTGTGGTTGAGCCCAGGCACAGATACCATAGGTGAGGGAAGGATTTTAGAGAGTTGTACAGGGAAAGGGGATCATTTGTGGTACTAGTAGCAATCTTGGAAAGGATTTCCCCTGATTTGGAAATTCTTGGCTATGTGATGGGTATGGACTGAAATTTTAAGATTTCATCAAAGGGGGAAAAACCTGAAATTTCCCCCCATGTGTCTTGATATAGGGGAACCTTTCAGTAGTTTGGGTTAAATTTTGGGTTGTTGCCAAACAGCATGAAGTAAGTTTTGTCTTGTTGAAAGTTATTTGCTGGCATCACCCAAACTATATCTTTAACGTTCATTTTTTACATTGTTTTCAAGCACAGTGGGTCTGAATGGGGGGAACATATTAGTTTCATTCAATAGAGTGGGGTAAGGATTGGTAGCATTGGGGGATCATTTATGTAGATGAGAAAAAAAATGGGCCTGGACACCCCCTTGGGGGGCTCCCCACAGCTACAAATTTGGGTAGCGGAGTTGACTCCACTTGTATGTACTTATTGGGTCTGTTTTAAGATAGGATTTTAGGTAATCAAGAGAAGTCCTCTTAGCCGTAATGTTTCAGTTTAGGTGCAAGAGATTGGGTCAACTGTGTCGAAATGCTTTTTTGGGTCGATAAAACCCCGGGGGATATTCTTCTTACGAGAGTTTGTATATTAGGTCAAGCATTTTTTAATAGATCTTTTGCTTTTTTTGGGTCAAAACCAAACTGGCATGGGTTAAGTATGTTTTGGATGAAGGTAGGGTAAAGTCGCTTGTGTATTATTTTTTAAATACTTGGAGAGTAAGGGCAAGTTGTTTGGGGTTGTAATTTTCAAATCTTGGATCTCCACCTTGTGGATCGGGGTACCTTGCTTCTTGAGTATGGAGGGGGAAGGTTGACGAAGCTAAGATTTGTTAAACTTGTTGCAAATAAGGGGCAAGTTCTGGGCAGTTTTTTTATAATGAATGGCGGCAAGTTATCTAGATCACCTGTTTTGTTTTTAATGATTTAATGAGAGTGAGACTCATGGATTATTTGGGAGCTAAAAATAGAGTTTTTGGATATTTCCCAGTGGGGTACCGCTGGGATGGGTTTTTGAGCTGGGAATTTGACTCGTTTGCTTTGTCCTACAGTAGAGAAAACATTAAATTTGTGGGCCTTGTCTATAGGTTGCTGTAGGTTCATCTGTTTAGTCAAATCATTCTGTTTTTCCAGTCAGTTTCCTGGGGCCCAAAAATTTTTGGGGGGTTTCCCCAGGTATTTTTTCATGTCGCCTTTCTTTTCACTAAATCTATTTTCAAAATACATTTGCTTTGTTTATGTATTTAGTTTTGTTATTTTGTGTGTATCTTTTGTAAATTCTTTAGAAATTTAAAGCCAAATCTGAATTCTTTAAAGTTGGTTTTTTTTATTAATGATTTGGGGTACTTCTAGTTAGCCATGGGCTGTTTGCCTCTTTTCTGCGATCTTTTTTCGTTTTGATTGGGAAAATTTTGTTGTGGGTTTAGGGTTTTATTAAAAAAAAAAATTTTGATATCTTTATAAATATTTTTACGTCATCTAGCTCTCTCGGAGGGTCAGTTGTTTGGGATAAGGTTATGTTGAAATCCCTGTAGTATGGACGGTGTTTATTCAAATCTGACTCAATTATCATGTTTCTACGGTTTTGCTAAAAGTGTAAGTGTTTGAGGTGGATCTGAGACGCAACCCCGCTGCTATGATTCTGTGTTCTTGAGTAATTTAGTTTATCAAAGGGGGGGTCAATATCTTCCGAATGCGCTGATATTATTTTTACAATTATTAAAACCTTAAACCCCCAAATGGTCCAAAAGTATTAACGTCCTTACGTGTAGTGCCCCCAAAAAATGTATATGTTTTAATTTTTTCCCGCCTCCAAATTTGGCACAATTGCCCTGAATGCCTGGTGCATAGAATGGGTTTTTTAAAACTCATGTGCACCATATTTAAAAAATCTGGGACCACTTAGACCTTTGGGATGCCACTAGA